GAACAGTCAAGGACACTATAGGAGTGAGTTTAAAGGTGCATATTTAATAAGAATTTTCATCTTAAAACTGACAAATTTGAATGTAATTCATTCTTCGAGTATTGATTGAATCATCGATAGGTACCGAAGTAAGTGCTCTTTGTGCTTTCTGATGGCGGAAGATTGAAATGAAGGTAGTTCAAAGGGTCAGCCGCAAAACTTCTTTGACTGCTGCTCCCTCGTGCTGATTGATGCAAGCAAGCAGCAGCAGCGTATCCACCGGTAAGTAGCAGCAGCAGCCCACAATGCCTCCTACTCCTGCCATATATTCAAATTTTCGGTTGTCGGCCAAGATGAAAGGAAGATTTAGTTTTGAACAGCAATTCCTTGTTGTTTCGGGGTGCGACTCTGAGTGTCGGCTCCAGCTTTTGTCCTTAGCTAGTGTCTCTCCATTTCATATTTTTCAAATACAATAAAAGTCGCGCAAATACGCACGCAAGCATTACTTTCCCATTACGTAGATAAAATCAATTCTGCGGTGATAAATTTTGCTTATCGCAAACTCTCATTCTATCATGCAAATGCATTCTCAAGTCACACTTGCTCTCTCACGATAATTGTTTATCACTTCATCCCTTCACTTCTTTCTTTAGCCAAACGATCTTTTTTGACGTTTGATTTTCAGATGCATAATTTAACGCTCAAGAAATACAATAAGTAATTACATTTGCAATTTTATATTCTTTTTGATACGATTTTCATTCCTTTTCAAGTTCATTTCCGCCAATTGTGACTTTAATAATCATTTTAGACAATTTACTTAACAGAGATCACATAACATTTTAAATACTTTGTTTAATTAGAATCAATTTTCAGTTATTTATAATAACTATCTAGCTAACATTTGAGATCATCACATTTGGTCGCAAATCCTTGACACCAGCTTCCTTGAATCATCCCGGTGGAGCGAAACATCAAAAATTTCATGTCACTGTTATTTTATCTTATTTTGATCCTGGCTCATTCCATTAAAACTAAGATTAATTTTGACAGAAGAGCTTTCGAACGAAAACAGTATCTGTGATTAAACCCAGGTTTGAGAAGACTGGTAGTAAAAGCCGGGGATGAAAGTTCTTGTGTATTCTGTATTCAAATAAACCTTTAAATTCATGTTCTGCATAAATAGTCATAAAGGTATTGAATTTTATTCTTGAGAAATTTTCTTTTATTAGAGTCAAACTTTCGGCTCATACTTATTTTATCAAAGTCATTTTCGGTATTGTTGAAAAATATTCAAGTTATTTATTCGTCTTGAGGGAAATGAACAAGGAAAAAGCTGCATTTCATTCACTAACCACTTAGGGGCAATTACACAGCGTTGTCCTATTTTTTCATTTTGGCAGATATTTTTTATATGAATAGTTTTTGATTGAAATGAAAGAATGATTATCAATTTCCATTTTATGCTTAGTAATGAAGCAGAAAAAGCTGTATCATTTGATCATAAATTATAACCTTTAACATCCAGCATCTACTACATGTTTATGTCTACCTTCTAAGCTACCCACCTGTTGTTTATTTATTTCTTCTTTCAAGGCTTTTAAGTTCCGTAAAAAATTAGTCTGCAGTAATACAATTTCTTTGATTTTAATATGTTGAAACGGAAAATTATTTCTCGCAAGATTGTAGGGTACAAACCGTAGTACTTCCTCTTACATCTTGCATGTTAGCACAATTTTTTGCAATCTTTCTCAAATTTTAGTATGCAGAACAAATAAATGTTTTTACTCTACTTGAAAATAATGCATTTTCAACTTACCATTTTACAGTTAATCCGCAAAACTGAATTTTTGTGAGTAACAACAGTTCATGAATATCTTGCCAATACTTTTATCTATAAAAGTTATCATTATTAGTGAGCTAGTAATGTAAAAGATAACAAGCTATAAAGTGATACAATTTTGGCTAATAAGAACTGCATTTTAACTGATTGATTGTGTTCGTTAATATTTGAATAAAATGGTGAAAGATGAAAATATTTAAAAAGTATTAAAACAAATGTTTTGGTAATAAGAATAGAATTCAAAATAATAAATAAATAATAAGCAGAGAGATCACTTATGGTCATGTTATCAGACTTTCTTCTGGTAACATGAGCATCCGCAAAGTTCAAATCACAGAAGGTGCATCTGCAAGAACCGATAATTGCGGGTAATGGATACATACTGCACAGTACTTTCCAAATTTTGAATGAAAAAATATAAATGCCATGAAGGCTAATACTTCCTTTCTAGAGCAGTATAACTAAAGAAAGTAATACCCCATATTTGCCAATGTCCAGACATATGGATATCGAAGTTGCGCAGTTTTGGTTTGTTGCTGTTATAAGACACTCATTTGTATCAAGTTTAAAGTGATGCCTACTTTTTGAAACCTACCATTATAGACTCTTTCTAAAGATACGCACAAGTTCAAGCACTAAAACCAAATACTTTGGTAACCTATTTGCTAAATATGCATAATTTTATAAAGTATGGGTGATTATTCAATTTAACACGTTTATTTTCAAAGGAAAAATTGTTAATATATCAGTAAATACTTTTCACTTTTTCTTGGCTTTATTTCTTAACTTTTCAATACACCGGTGCAGATATTAGTGGTAGCAAAATAAATCATTTTAATGTTTTTTGACGATAAGTTTTTTACTCACTGCATTTTTCAATCCGGTTATAAGCAAAATAAAATATGTGACACTAAAAAACTTAGAGTTTACATTATATCGCATATTTCTCTAGTACACTATTAGTACATCATTTTCCGTCAGAAATCATCGATGATTTTCCAGTTTACTCACTTTATGCTTTATAGTTCAGATGTTGATTGAAATAATCATATTTTTATGCAAAATGAATGCTGATCTGAAATATTGTGAGAGTATGGAATAAGTTAGTGGCTTGGGTAAAGGCTAAGTACAAGCTCTGATGTGATGTAATGGGAGGCCTTTGGTGATGATAGCCTCCGCTTTCATTAGCCAAAGAGCTTGGCGATGCAGCGGCCAGCATGATAAATGTGAAATCCATACTTGATAGATTTATCTATTCATCTTCTTAATCCATCTCAACGTATAAATATATTATTATCAGGAAATTCTCCAATTTCAGTGTTAATTTTTTATTATTTGCGTTACATCATCCAAGCATTGCAATTTTGTGGATGAATAGATAGGTAAATAAATGGATAGTTGCCTTAATCAAACTGTATTCTTTTCTCTTCTTAGCTGAGTGAACAAAACAATAGAAAGAATGAGATACCTGTAGCAGACAATATGATTAGTAAGAATGTCATGTTTGTTTTTAGATAACTTTAATTAATTCTCAAGTTTTTTGCAGAATTTGTTGTTCCTTTTCAAATTCAACATCAGTACTGCAATAAGAACAGAAGTATTAATGTATTAATTAGCTGTTATCTATTTACCAAAGTAGGGGACTGAGGCGAAATTAAAAATTTTTTATTAGTGGAAGTAAAAGTTTTTACAACATTTATTGTAGAAAGTTTTACTTCCACCAATCGATATTTACGATGCTTTACTTATTCATTGCTAGATATTGCACCAAATTTACCATTAAATTCCTACCATCTACAGTTCGAAAAATTTTGAGTTAAAATAGAAGACTCTGCTATAGACATGGATATGTTGAACTGTAATGAAACTATGCTATACATGCTTTTATTGTTGCTTATAGTTTCAAACGATTATCTGATGACGTTGTCAAGTTTGATTTTGTAGGCAAAAAGATGGAAGCTTTCATCTCAAACAAACTTACTACTTTTTCAGAACACTGGAACTGCCAACTCCATTATTACACTCTATTGACTAAATTTGTAGTGTGAATGACTTATACTGTTGTACACAGCAATAGACTTATATGGGAGCATCCATTATCTATTTGTTCCCTTACATGATTCTTAATGTAGATAAACTGTGTTACTACTGTTCCGAGTGATATCATTACGTGTCCATATGCTGAACAGTCAATTTGACTGAAAGTGCGGACGGGATTAAAAAATACTGGACTAGACAAGACGAACTGACCATGCTGGGCTAAGCTATATGCAAGTACATCATTCGTCAACTGCATTAGGGATGCGAGGGAAGTCGTAAATTATGATCGCTGATGAGATAGATTTCCTTCGATGCCAATATTTATTTGTATTTAATAGGCACTTTCATCCTTATTACGCCTGCTCACACATTTTCCCTTCTACACACACTCATTATAATATTCACTTCACTTCTGCTGCAAAACTGAACACTTTAATAACCACTGCCTTATCCAAAGCTAAACTACGCAATTTGAATGCACGCTATACGAATTTCCATTTCTCGTGCTCCGAAATAAGTTAGACATGCGCTGATTAAGTGAAATTGAAAGCTAGCAAGTTGTAGATTTACAGTATCGTTGGTATCGTCAGAGTTCGGTGTTATTTGAGAATATTTGAAAGAAGTTGCAAGATAGAGAGATCCACATGTTTGGATCTCACTCTTCCTTCAACGACTGCTATCCTTTTGGCTAGACTTAAGCTAGCCGCTCGAAACTGTATTACCATGATTTAACTGTATTACCTACCATGATTTTACCTAACTGTATCTTAACAAACTAAATTATTAGTGATCAGAATGATCTGAGATAAAATAAGATTTAGCTTGCAAAAACGGTACATAATTTTAAAAGACTACTCTAGGTTGAACCTAGACTAATAGCTACTTTAGACTCCAGGTAGCCACGAAAAGCAAAAGCAATGCAGTCTTCAGCTACGGTCAAGGTAATTCAGGGAAGTAGTGGACAAAAATATTGACATTATTATGTTGGTGGGAGGGCTTGTTGTCGGCAAGATGAAAACGATCAGTACGTGCCGTGAAGTTCTCTCATTGGTTGTCAGCTCAGAGGAAGTGTTTGATGTTGCCGCAGCAGGTTGTAGATGATGGAAGGAGGTGCTGTCCGTGCTGCTCCCACCCACTTTTACAGAGGAGTGCAGTGTAGTAGGAGCTGCTGCTTGTAGTTCATGCCAAAAATACTGCTGCAACGACATGTAGCCATGCTGTTGTGTTGCAGTGTGCACGCCCCTCCTTTTTCTTCTTTTTTCCGGGCTGGCGCTTTCTTTTTTGCAGCAGCTACAGCAGCAACCACAGCAGCCATAGCAGCACCATCCTTTACTTATTATATTGTCATTAGTTGGTGCGTCTACAAATTTACTCCATAAAATTTCATTCCCTCCAAATCACTCGTGTCATTACCGATTAACTCATTTCTTGAGTGAATTATCTCCGTTATTATGCGAATCTGAAAAATGCTGGAAGTGGATGAGTGAGCAGAAACTAGTGGACACCGGCCAGTGGTCAAGGACGAAGTTATGATAACGGAGGAAGAGAATAAAGTTACTGTTATCAGTGCAGTTCTAACTCACTCCTAGACCACTCGCTTTCATTTACCAATGGATAATAAGATAATAAAATTTATTGTCTATTCTATTTCCATGATCTCACCTTGATATCATCTATCCATTTATTTATTTATTTATTCGTGCCCACTCTCTCCTAATTTATCGTATATGTGACATAGTCGCGTAATCAACTTGAAAAATATTCCAGAGTTAAGTTAATGCGTAGTTGCAGTGACATTTGATCAGTTTTCATGCATACTTTATGAGTAATGAGAACTATGTTTGCAGTATTCCTTCATTACTACAGAAAATCACTTTTGCGAAAGACAAGTTCTCAGGTTAAAAAGCTAACTAGCGTTATTGACAGATTGCACCGGTTGGTTTTATTTTTGATTTGATATATTTAAAGTATAAGATAATTTGCAGGCTGGACAGGAAGAAAACGTACGTGCGGTAGCCGCATAAATGTACCCCAGCTGGCAGAGTGTAGACGATTCGCCCACTGTGCAGCCATATTGGAGCCAGCATGTGAATCAGGCTGCGAATGCTGCTGCAGCTACTCATCAAAAAGTCGCTGTCGCTGCGGCTGCTGCCTACGATCCTTTATTGTATCCTGCTCAGAATTACATGGATAATATGAAAAATATGTTGGGAGCTGCTGCACAATGGGTGGAATCTTCCAGCACGTGAGATATTTCCCTCATTTATCTCAAAAGCTTTATCTAGATTCTCTTATGTATGAGTACTTCAAGATTAATTCTACAAAGATTATTCAGACTCAAGGTATTGAGACTTAAATCTTGAGATTTGCCGCGTTTTTACATTATCTTGTTAACATGAAAGTAAATGAATGATATTTTCATTCACTCTTTCTCGTTGTTAAAAAATTTAAAGATAACGTAATAGTAAAATGCACATGATTCATTCATTTTTCGAGAAATAATTGATTACACGTTATTGTTCAGTGGCAAAACTGGAAGGTGTTTACTGTTATCCCAATCTTTTCTATCAATGATAAGATACACAGTTGAAAGTTTAGGAATTATGTTGTGATATAATCTAGTAATGAGCATTTTAATGCCAATCAGTGTACTGTAATTGTTATACAGCAACCAATCGATATTTAAAAATGTATTCTTATTTGAAAATTAAAAAAATGCAAATTTGTGGTGGCGTGCGTGATCGATTCTGTTGTTGATGGCAACGAGAATATTTGTGTCTATCAAATGATTGCATCCTGCCCAGCTCTTTTTCACTGTGTGCCAGAGTTTGTTCAACCAGCTCTACTGCGTTCCTTTAACTCGTAATCCTGGCTAAATTATTCTTCCTTGCTGTTTGGGGTCAGATCTTCAATCTGCAGCTAAAATATGTTGCTAACTTTGAAATAATTTTCTTCGTCCTGCGATTATAGGTCAGTGTTTTATCTTTCCTTTGTTTTCCGTTGTTGTTCAGCTGTAGTGGTTGTTAATTCGAAGAAAAGAAACTTGGATAGATTTGTGATGTGCATTTCAAATTAATGCATGATAATATTAAGTTAATGAGGAAAAGAGATGAAGCAACTTTTGAAGAAATTGACTTGAGTTATTGATTACAAAGAATAACTCCATATGTTTCAAGTCATGTAGGAACATTGAGATATGAGTGGGTTAAAGGGCGTTGAGTTGATTGCGAACAAAAACTGGTTCTTGTTTGTTATCTTTGCTTTAGTCGAGAATGAAGTAATTAAGAAATTTCCATTCATTGATGAGAATGAACTTTGTACGTTTTGCTGAGGAAGCGAAATGAGAAATTATTGCTTCCAACCTCACCTCTTCTCTTTTAACTTCCAGTTAATTGTAGTAACTATCAAGCAGCATACTACGAATTTTGCAGTATTTGTACAAGGCTTTCAGAAATTAATATATAATTTACGTAAATGCACATCACGTATATTGCACAATTATTACCAGCATCAACACACTACCATATCACCCATGAAACTGGTTGTAGCTTTTAGTTAATCGATAGGTGAATCACTTGCGCGTATTTAATCATATTTAGTCTTTAACAGTGAATGATATTATGTGATAGTGTTAGTAGTCACAGCTCTGCAGGGGAATTTCAGTGAGCTTGATGAAGGAAGGAAGTACGTTTACCATTTTCTTTAAAAATTACTGCTAAGTTTTTCGACAAACACCCAAACTGGTTGCAAATGTTTAATTTGTAAGTTCTAATTTGAACTGCAGAAATTGTGCGTCACGTGGAATTATTGTTGAAATCAGTTACAGCCAGTCGTGATACCATGCAAAGTAAGTGTAACACTGAGTCAAGCACTCTAGCAAACATTAATATAGAGGAAAGTAAAAAGCAAGAAGTTTAGTTCGCGTAAAGAAAGTTTTGACAAAGCTGTCTCAGAAGTTCTGATGCCTTTTGACAGTGGACAGAATAAATTTTGCAACAGTTGAAATTTTTAGTTTATTTGACCAGTGAATTATTATTGGTGGTAGTACTAGTAGTGGATGTAGAAGTAAAAATTCCCAGCTAGGACTAGTTGCGAGTGACATTGATTGCACTTAGTGTATTCCGGCAAGGTTACTTATCGCTGAGCAAATGACGATTCTTCCCTGCCCACACGTTCATAATTTACTTTTTATTGCCCATTTACGATTTGATGACCTTTTCTGTACGACGTTTCCTTATCCTTCTTCATTTCTGCTCATAGTACCAATTTCTGCAATTATATGCAATTTTTTAAGGAATTTGTGCAGCATGATTGTAAAAATAAAATCGCAAAAGTAATCGTTCTAAAAATTTTTCATTATCATGCTTTAAATGATAGTGTGTTTCTGAACTGATATCACAGACAACTGTCGTAATAGTGAAGCAAGACAAGTTTATTATGACTGTTGCATATATCGTCACTTCTGTCAACATTAGCAACAATAGTAGCACATCTTCACTCATGGATTTTTGTGCTTAACTGCTTGCTAAGAAGTTGGATATATTTTTTAATAAGACGGATTCTAAAGAATTGTGTAGTTACTTGAAAAAGTTTTCAAGAGCGTATTGCAGAAATTTCAAGAAGTGCCTTGGTGAAAGTTTTTTGCCATCTTAACATGAAAATGAAAGTTATACAACTGCAATGTTCCGTGCAAATTTGTAGTTGGAATTAATAAAAGTGGTAGCATTACGATAAAGGAAAAAGGAAGAAAGGATTGGAAGTACGGTCCTCACAACTGAACCACCATTTATACTCCTATCATTTTCAAAAGTGTTCTTTTCATTCTCGCAGTTAGTCAGTCAGCAGGTTATTTATCGTCTTCCCTACTGTCTTTTCATGCAAGAATTCCAAGGATCTAGCAGAATGATATGTCGTCGATTTTAGTTGGAAGCATACAAACTTCGCATTTTTTGGACGAAGGATGAGACCAGGTAACTATCTGATGACTGTCAGGATAATCTAACACTATAATGTTAAGCGTAATTACGTAGCTGTGATTCACAATATCAGATGATAAATGACTTTGTGTTGGTGTAGGGAGCATTTCCAGATATTGTCTGAGATCTAATATAATTTAATAATGCGACATTGTTCGTAAGCTATTACAGACTTCTGTTCTTGACATCGGGGTTCATTTTTCACTAATTTCTGTTACTAAACTGTTCCTCTATCACTGATGGGTTGTTAATGCATGTATATGCTGAAAACTTTTCAAAATCTCTTCTGCAGACGTCTCTATACTCAACCTTTTTTTGTTTCTTTTGATGGCGTTTTTTGATAGCATTTTACTGCAGTCATGAATTGGTTGAAATTCATTATTTCGTCTCTCCTTATGAGAAATTTAGTTCTTCATTAAATTGCAGCCATCATTTGTCTCATCACCAGTCTTCTCTCGCAAATTGATTTTTTACAGAAATTTACAAGAAAATAATTATTGACTTCCCCCGTAAAAGCTACGAAAATTATTAAACTATTTCGTTTTTGGTACTAAATTTGCCAAAAATAAATAATTATAATCAAAGTAAGTGATGAAACAAATCTTATCTTATAGTTGTACAAAACTTTAATGATTTCAAGTTGAATTTATATCAGGTTTTCGAGCTACAATGGCTTGCAGCCAGCATCCACATCACATTTACCGGTGATCAGTGGTGAACGAGCAGTACAAATGAATCAACCGGTGTTTCCTTGGATGAAGATGAGTGGTTAGTCATTTCATAAACTATAAAAATTGTTTGCAATGCTTATTAATATATTCATCTTATTCTATGTGTTCTGTCCTTATCTGTTCTCATTTATCTTGATAAGCCTTGTTTAACCGAATGAGATCACTTTGTATGCCAATAAGTTTTGAGCGAAATGAAGTATAATGAAGTTGGCATTGGGGTAGAATACCAGAAAGATGTGAATGAATCAGCTTATGTGGTATCAGAGCAGACTTTGGTAATTGTCTGGCGAGACTTGTGTGTTATTTTTGTATTGTGTCATAGATATTTTAAAGCATTCACTGCATATAATTCACATAAATAATATGCACATATGAGAGACAAATATATAATCAGAATGCACTAGGACGATAATGAAACTAAATTGGAAAGTTATGAGTAGGTGTTTAAAATAAATTTGCGACGTGGATGAAGTTACACAGTCATTTTTCACCAATTCCATTTAACTACACTGATCTTAAATTTGCGGTGCAGTGTATGACGTCTGTAGCGTTAATTTACGTAGGTGTGATGTGACAAAAAATAACTAATCTTAAAGAGAAAGGCAAAAGTTTGGAAGCTGAATATATGTTACGCTGACTAATGATTGTAAAAAAAGGCTTGACTAATATTTAAAGTTCCGTTCACTGCATTTGGATGGATGGATATTCTTTATATAACATCAAAACCCATTGAAGTCTGCTTTGCTTCTTTTAGTTTCTTCTCTTGCTTGCTGCAGTTTTGTTTTGATCTTGATTTTTTCAGAAGTTTGAACAAGTTCACATTTTTTTTTAAAATTTGGATAGACTTCTTTTGAAAACGTGTCACTTTAATCCGGGAGTGGTTTGCTGTGAGAAGCCATAAATCAGAGGGTTTTATCGTAAAATAGATGATGTTAGTGTCGACAACAACGAAGTTGCATCGCGTTTTGTGTCAACCGCGATTTTTAGCGTATGAATGACACTAACGTCTTAGGGATGCAGAGCGTAGCACTGTCTGTGGTGTAAATGAATAATGCGAATTTCTACTCATCTTGAGTAGTTTGTCATTCTAATGAATAAGTGAAATAAACGGTTGCCAATATGCATTGCATATTGATGAAATATCTGGTTGCACAGTGAATTTATTTTGCTTGCATTTTGAGTTACAATTCAATAACTGAATAGGAAACAAATAGTTTGAAGTGAGTTTTTTGACGTGAGGTATTATGTTTTTGTTTTTCGATGAGTCAGAATTTTTCGAGATGATTTGTACGTTGGCTGTTTCTCGCGAATGCTTCCCCAATATTTCTGTTGCTAATAAATTTTCGGTAAACATCAAAGAGCCCACAAGTCATCGTATTTACATACAACACGTATACGCGAGTTAGTCGTCAGCTGGGTGTGAATTCTCAACTAGTGAGAGTGGAAGGAGAACGCAACTGTTCCTTCATACATAAACCTATTTTATCACCTGGCAGTGAGCTAGCTTTTCTCGAGCTGACCTGTGGTGCTTTAGCACCTGTTTTCGTTCGGTTATTTGCTGAAAAGCTGTAAAGAGCACAATGAAGTTATGCTGTGCGTTTTATGTCAAAAATGCCAGTGAGAAAATAAACATTGTAGCACTTGTTGCGAATCTTTGACAAGTATTGTACTATGAGGATTAGTTTGATTGCAATAGAAGGTTGCAGGGAGTTGAAGTCATTCGGTGGAGAGGTCAAAAGGTCATGTTTTGTAGTGCTTCATGGTTCTCAAAGTTTATACACAATGGTAGCATTCAGTGGCTACAGTATTGATAGAGGGACGGTCCTGCCTCCGCCAATCAAGAAAAAGGGGCCGAAGCATGCATTTCTGTTCTCTTTGTCTCTTAATCGATCACTACCAAATATTAATTTTCAATTTTTTCGAAGTTGTCAATTCATTATTATTACTTAGAAGTTCTCTTATGAATTGCTAGTTCGTCTGGTAAGTAAATTGTGGCAGAAGATAAGTTTCATTTTGCTTTGTTGTTTGTGATGTAGAGGCCTTACTATCTGTTTTGCGCATGCTAAAATGGGAAATGAAATGGCAATCTCAATCTTTCAACTCTTGCCTTTTTCGTGCCTCATTTTTTTTCCATTATCATTTTCTACATTTGCTGGTCAAAATAACGAGCTCAATCGGCAAGGGCAAAGTTACGAGTCCTGCATTAAGTTGCATTATTATTTAGACACAAAATGAATTGTGCTGAGTCATTGTGAATGCATGCGAGTTTAAGTTTATGGAGAGTTTTTAAAATTTTCTGAGCAGTGTGTGATGCAGAATATAAATTCCATTGCTGTTCTTTTAGTCACTGAACGTTTCCAACACCAAACTGCTATTTCGCGAAAATATCAAGCCAAACTATCGTTTCAGTGTTACTGACATGCATTCTTTATTATCGGAAGGGAGAACTTTTAAGCAAACAACATTATTGCCTATTGTACTCGTAGTTTAATAAACTTGTTAACCAGATACTCAGTTTGGTTTCTCGTGTAGATGAGATCACGCCACATAAAATTCTAATTCTTACATATAATCAATGATAAAGCTTAACTGGAGTTGTAATAAGTGATAATACATTAGATGAGATATGCGGAGTATACTGATTATCACAGCTAGCTAGTCAAGTATTTTCGAAAGGAGATTAGATTGCCGAGGGAAAAGAAACTTGTTTACACAGTCGGAAATTTGAAAGGAAAATGAAAGTAAGCACTGACGTTGGGGAGACCGAAAAATGCAGTGACTGTTGTGTGATTTATAGAAGCGAAGATGAAAAAATTAGACCGCATCGCAAGCAAAAAGGCAATTGTTTTTAGCAAGTTCACTTACTTGACTCTTCTTGCCAAGGAATTCATACAAGCAAGTGAAGTACATTCCCATTTCTTGCTGCAACAAGCTTATATTTGTTGCTAATTCATATCGCAAGTTGTGAGCAACACATATGATGCATGCTTAGTGTTAAAATAATAATTAATTACTTCTGCATAGAATTATTTCGGAGTGAATAGTGCTGGAAATTTTTGGTCAGTATATTATAATTTGCATTATTAGCAGGATTGTAGTTCAGATTTACTACGATATGAAGAAAAGTATTAAGTTAAATGTGACTTAAAGGAGTCAGTTCAAGCAAAGCTCAATATCATGTCTGTACCATCTGTGGTGCTAATTTACGACTGGGAAAAAATTCGCGTTATCTCTGAAGCACCGCATCATCAGCACTGCATTCAAAAGACATATCTAATTTATGGCTCTCACAACTGTGCTTTATTAATTCTCTATTTCACTCCGCTGCTTGGTGCGTCCACGTGCATGCGTGCAAAGTGTTTTCTCGATTTTGTTCGTTTCAAATGATTTATGCAAGAAATTTGGGTGAAATTGGGATGAAAATCACTCAAACAATTGTCCTGTATATGTTTCGTGTGAAACTATACATAATTACATGGCAGAAATATGAACTTTTCCTACATGATCAAATTTCGAAAATCTGATGTTAATGTGCGCAAATGCCTCAAATTTCTTTTCGTGAAATGATCTGTTTGTAACGTACTTAAACTGCGAAACATGAATGGCTTTAGTAGGATCAAACGTATTTCCTAGCCGTTAAATACTATTTGTTCTATCTTTAGAGATGACCATGATGAGTGATTATATTGGAAAGAGGTCAAAGTTAATAATTGGAAGATAATAAATGCTGCATTCCAGTTACCATGAACTAAATAAGAACATTTAGGTCAAAGTCCCGTAGAGGTAGTGGCCTTGAAGCTTGTCCCTGTTATTATGGTGGTTTGACTACTCTTGGTTCCTGGCATGAGGTCCTTTGATAAGGTTAGGATCCAGATCCCCTGCTTGGCCGAGTTCGAGTAGTGACAATTAAGATAAATGTGACAGGCAAATCGCCTGTGTTCACCTAAAACAGGCAGGTGATGCTGAAGCAGAATATGTTTTTTATATCTGCAGCATACTGTAGATACGTTTTGACAGGTGTGCATTGATTGCTATGATCTGATTTTTCGGTTGCTGGGTTTTGGCGTAAACTGACTTGTAATGATATCGAAAGAACGGTCAACGAGCATCTCTATACATGAGTTTAAGACTTCCATTCTATAAGTAACTTTTACTTTTGTCATTTCTTGCTATATCGAGAATTTATAAAATGCAGTAAGAAAAATGGGTATATATTTATATCAGGAGTGTGTTTCTTTAGTTTTTAAATAATTTCACTTAATAATCCTAACACGGTTACTAAGGGTTATTTGTATGGATCTGTTATATTCACCTTTTTTCATACTTTCAGTAGTACCTATCGATATCGAGAGTCATTTTACTATTAGATTTGAAAGAGTCACCTAACTTGGCTACTTCTAAGAGAGATGGTTGCTGTGAAATATCTTTCAAGTATCAATGAATTTTTTGAGCTACATATAGTTGTTGATTTTGGTTGACATTGGGATTCGAGAAGTTTGCAGTTACTGCTTTACAAATTACATAGTAGCTTAACGTCTCAGATCTCCGTTTTTGAAGTATTATAACTGGAGTATTGAAACTTTCTTTCAACTTACCATAAGACAAAGAGTAGGTAAACATTGTGCATTTTAAAGTAAAGACATGCTCTACTATAATTGTATATATGAGAGGTAAGTTGAAATTGCCACTGGCGATGTTTTCCGATCCTTGTAGTGTATCTCACTTTAGAATCGAATATTTCATTCTTTACTCTTTGAAGTAAGCCGACATTTTCCATCTATTCATTCTTCAACTGCAACTTGTAGTTATTATAAGCACTTTGTCCATTACTTGTTCCCCATAAAGACGTTTCTGGATGTTGTAGTTTCGCATAAGCATTATAAATACGTCCTCTATCATTTATTCTGCACTAAAAATTTTTAAAGCTCCTCTGAGTTGAAGATATGTGAAGTCAATTAACGCTGACAGATTTTTCCAGAAACAGTGTTTATGTTGAGAATGTCACAAATCCAAATTCTCAGTTATTGTAAAGCCTTGAATTCAGGATTTTGAAATTTTACTTCCCTTAATTAGAAAGATTCGTTTACTGCACGTTTCGTATCTATCATTAATTCAATTACAGTAGATCATTTTTGATGGGTGCTTACGCTCTATCTACTCCATTGTGCATTGTATTCATCATCCATTTTCCATCTCACTACACTTCAGTTTTCTCAGATCTCAAATGTATGTTTGAAAAAACAGTAAAATACATACATTCGAAATTAGCAAACATAGTAAACATTTTGTTCACCCAACATTTTTCATATGAGATTGCAAATTTACGAAAAATTAGAGCCTTACTGTAGTAACCATACTGGTCACTGATTCTATCAGTTAACTGTTATTCGCATATATCTTGGATTGTTGCAGTTCTAATTATCATGAGTGTACTATGTGTTTCAGAATTGTATCAAAATTTTGAAAATATAGGATTACTAAGAATGTTTCAGACACTGCATATAGTGTTTCTTATTTTTTGCAGGTGGTAAGGGTGGTGAATCAAAAAGGACGCGGCAGACGTACAGTAGAAATCAAACGTTAGAACTTGAAAAAGAATTTCATTACAACAAATATTTAACGCGAAAGAGGCGGCAAGAAATTTCGGAAAGTTTGCAGTTGTCTGAACGGCAGGTTTGTGTTACAAATGTTTGTAAGTTTTCTTAAGTGCTACTGGACCCGTTGTTGCTATGTACTTCCTTATTCTTACGCAGAAGAATTAGGAACTTATCAAAATCCTTATGCAGTTTCGAAATACACTATATAAATATATGTTATTGATCTGGTGATGACTATGGTACTATTTGACTTGAAATTGTTTTTGGAAAATGGGCTCGGAAATGCTTAATGGGCACAAGTTGTGGATTTATTCACTTGCACCATTTTAGAGCTAATTTTATTGGCGTTATATTATGCAGGCAGCGTTAGCATATGAATTTTTCCTCACTTAATAAGATGATAATTATTAAACTTGCGCTAAAGTAGATACTTAGGAGTTTTACTTTACAGATAGAACTTCATGGATGTGTTTGTCAGCAGTCACTTCTCCTATCTCTTAGTGGTGTATATTTAATTTCTTGAAAGTTGCATTCTTCGTATTCTTTTCATTTGTGACAAAAGCAATGTTTAATATTTCAAAAGTCTTAAGTTGGAAGTACTCAAATTTATATGTGTTCATAAATAGAAGATAAAACATTGCATTAGCTTTTGTTGAGTGAGTAGGCGAGTAAAATTGTCTTGGTGATTCAGTTTGTTAGGTAAATTTGAAGTTTGGCTGGAAATAAATGCTCACTGTAGTATGTGGTGTTTATGAATTTCTTATGAAAGATATTTGACCTTTGAATCTTTATTCTTTCAGCGATTTGTCATTTAAATACGTGTGCTTACTTTGTCATTAATTTTTTCGACACAGTATATTGGGAGACTTTCAATGTATCTACGAGAATTCTTTCTTTTCTGTATGCCATTAGAGATAACAAAGCCATTGGTATATATGCAATTGTGCATTCCTTTGTGATCAGTACACACAAAGAATTTTCAACGATACAATTGTGAGCAACGAGAAATATTCACTAAAATAGAAATAAATGTTTGAACGATAATATGTCCAAAAACAAAGAATTTCTGTTGTTTGGCTGTGAGTCTGCAAGTGTTATTGATGGCTTGCTCACCTGAATTGTTCACTTGGGTGGTCCTGTCCGCTCACGCATCTATCTGTGCTTTTTTTTACTTACCTCTGAGAAAGCATTTTGTTTCTGCTTTTATACACACGCTCGAATTATTATTGAAGGGGATTTTTGCTTTAACTAAAATTCAACACATTTATTAAGAAAACATTACAAGTAATAAATAAATATTGCAGGTGAAAATATGGTTCCAAAACAGGAGAATGAAACACAAGAAGGAATGTAAAGGTGAAATAACAACAACAAATGACAGTGATGATAGTAATGATGAACAAATACCTCCTACTTGATTAATTAAGCACAATAACATCCATGAACTTATATGAGCTAATCTGCTGATATCATTTCAAATGCTATCAAATTCTTGCAGATAATGATATTCTGCAATACAACAATTAAGTCATCAGATTCATCATGTGTAATTTATATTTTAAACTCTTGACCTTTCACTGTCAACGATGCATGATGAGCAGCAAGTGAGTAATTAAGCTGCACCACCAGGAATTGAGATCTCATTATTTATCAGAAACTTTACCCTACCAGTTTGTTTCTTTTCTTTGAGTCTTCTCAAGTTTAGTAGTGTAGATTAGATGACGACCCTTTTATGACAATCATTGCAGAACAAGTCTGTTATTTGTTCTAAATTATCTAAATTTAAAGTCGGGAATGATAAGCAAACAACTTTTGCTTCATCAACTGCTTTTTGACATATTACTCTAAGAAATATTTATAGAAAGTAATAAGTATATGAGTGGAAAAAATGTTACAATTGGGTCGCTTAGTGGATTGCATTGGAATTGTGTAATCAAAACTGTATGTGCTTTTTTCTGATTGTCTTTAATCCTTTGTTACAGTCTGCTTATTAATATCATTCCGCAGCAATTCATGTCATTCAATAAGACAAAATGCCACCCGTTGAAAAACACTTGTTTCTGTCATTTTCTTGCCAAAATTTTCTACGTTGACGTATGTTATACGAGCAACAATTGTCAGCTGTAAGTTCTGTACTTATTATGAATGAGAGGAGTATGCGTGCAATGTTATGTAACAAATTTATTCTCTTTAGAAATTTAATTCGATCCGTTAAAGTAAGTTAATGTATAATCACATTTACATTAATTTATTTTTCTGATCTATCACATTTTTTACTCTTAAAAAATATTTCATGCATGGATGAACCAGTGGAAGCTTTCTAACATTAACATGATTTTGGGATGCATACGTTTTTTTTTGCTCCGAAAGCACAAACAATATTCTATTGAAGTGTCGTTGATTATAAATAATTTTCAGTTTTCCATTGACATTCATTTTGTTTTTAACCTTAAGTCTTCTTTGATCATAACTCTAAAAATGGTCTGATTACTAATAGTGATCAGACTTTCTGATGGGAATTGGAAATTGTTTAAGTTTGTATAAATATTTTTGCTAATACATGGTATGTTGTAAACATGGCACTCATGTTGCGGGCTTTTTTTGTTTTCCTGTACTTGATTAAAGTGAGTAACATTTTGTACTGCGGGCTGTTGTTTAAGTTTTTTCTGTGACTAATGTAAGTTTGGTTACCCTTCCAGTTTGCTTGTTTCTCATTTTCTAGTGTATATTGCTATAAAAGAATTGGTAGATTATTTGTTTTGTGATGTTTGAAATTTGTATATATACACGTGATACGTAGTTCGCTTATCTGGCGTACTGCACTCTTTGTTAAAGCGTGTAAGTTTGGTTACCCTGTTAAGTATGTAAAAACAGTCAGAGTTGGGCTTAACTGTCGTACATCTATATCCAGATGTATGGAGGATGGATCGCTGAATATATTGCCAACATTTGTTTAACACAGACTTATTTAATGTTTTAGACAAGTAAATCTTAGTAGGACTCGTCTGTAAAGAAAATGGAGATTAACGTGTGTTATACACTCTGAAATTCACAAATTAAGAGCACGCATGATGCAGAGAACAGTGTAAACAATATTTAATGTTAGCAATTCGAAAGATCCGAATAGATTCTAAACTTCCGTTCAAGTCAGACCAGTATAGATTGGAAGGATTTTAGTTGTCAAGTTGTGCGACTTTTGTTGCGTAATTCAATGCAGAGAGAATGACTTGAAGAATTTGCATATCACTTTCGCCTGTTGACCCTCGAAGTATAAAATTTTTTTTCTGACGGACCGAATTATCAGTTGTGAGAAAGTCAAGCGGGGAAGGTTAGACAAACTCCGTCATAATGTTCTGGAAGTTCACGAATCTATTTCATTTGTCGCTGATACTGCACTGATCCATATCGTTAATGGAGCGTTTATTCTTTGCTTTCTTACGGCTGTCTTTCTTCCCGCTACTTTTCTTTCGTCTATCTTAAATAAGACACGTGGAGCATACATAAGTTGGTTCTATATATGTGATAGTATAGTAGTAGGTATTGTATTACAGCAGTTTCGGAGTTTACAAGTAAAGAGCAAATAAGATGTATATAGTGAAGAATGTATGCATTAGTTACTGACTATTAACAATTTGAAGAAGTCAGTTCTAAGGTATTAATTACTGCTAGGTTTCTGCATGAACAAGTGAAAGTTTTCTTCGCATATCATGCAATTTCTTTGAGATATTTTTGAAAAAGAGAAAATGTGGTAACGAACCTTTCTCACCTCCGACCTTGGCTGTAGTTTTTTTAATTCCTCCTTCTGCAGGACTCTTTGCCGTTGCTTTATCCACATTCGACATTTCTCGTTTCTAAGACGTAATGTTATTGTTATATTCTGGGATTTAAATAATTTTTCATGCACAATGCGCATTAATAAACTATAATATATTCAGTAACCTTTTCATCATAATCAGGTGGTTTATCACCTTCAAATGCGGGAAAATCATATGGGCAAGGTCGATTTTTGAATTCAATTTGATACTCGTCTGCCCAATCAATTTGATAGTTTATCATATCTTTTGGTGGTTGACCGTACACTGTCCTCAAGAGGTAAAAGTAATATTAATTGGTAAGAATTATCGTCAAATGACCTTTAACTTTATCTTCAGGAACACAGTATTTTCAAGTTCTTTTGATTTTAGTTTTTGACCTAATAATATAAACATTAAAACTTTATGTGAATTTCTAATATGGTAGTGAAAAGATTTAGTAGATTTCCAACACTTCATCGTCAAATTTCACATCGGTAATAGAAGAAACTTTGAAAGCAAAGAAACACTCTGAAGATTTATAGATTTACACAATATCTTCATCTTAATTTTGATTAAAATGGTACGAGAGATTAATGATCTGAAAGAGCATCAAGGAAAAAGTGTCATCATTTTTCCCACGATTGTCTTCAACAAAATAATAATTCATTAGCATGCTACATTAGAAGTTTACACGATTTACCAATAGTTCATTGAAATTCTGAAATTAGTTTAACTGTATTTACTGATTTACTTCGTTTTTTTAAATATGTGCTCGACGGCAGTATCACCCTTCTGGTCATTTTCTGTGTCCAGTTGTTTGTACTCATCTTCAGGTTGTTCATCATAGTCGAAATAGGGAAACAAATGATCATCTAATCCCTTCTCTTCATCATGAAATACATTTGATGTGCAGCAACCCATCACTCGCAGATGCTAAGTGACACCTTTCGCTCTAGTTAGTAAAAATCCTGTTGAGTACCTTTTCGTTATTTTTGATGTTTAATTGACTAAGTGAGAACCTCATGATTTAGCCTACTTGCATTTACAGAAGCAGGCACTTATTCACATGTAGAGTGAATGCATCTTGCTACTCCAAGATTAACTTATCTCCAAATTTATCCGAAAATTTGAATTAGATTGTTGCTCCTGACACTCATCACAGTAATTTAGCAATGAATCATCCCACATGAATCACATATTCTAGTTTACAAATGACTTTCAATAGGAACAAACCGTCCCACCAACCGTTCGCTCAGTGCCTTACTCGTGAAAATAATTTTTCGGTGATTTTCAGATCTATATATGCATTAAGAGTGACTATTATAAGTCAAAAATAGACGAATCACCATTTCTGAATATTGCAGTCATGACTTAGCTGGAGTTGCAATTCATATGTAACAGAAACATCTTATTCTGTACGATTTCAGCAGTAGTGGCAATTTCTTATAATAGAGGCTACATTTATTCATTAATAATGCACGAGTCATAAAATATCCGAGTTAATGAATACATTGATCTAAGCAAACAATGACATGAAAAATAAGCATATCATAGAATTAAGACCAAAAACGCGTACACAGTAGCAGCAGGAAATATCGCAACATCCCCGAGTTTACAACTTGAGAAAAAACTGCAAGATGAATTTTCAGAGTAAGCGTGCTAGATAAAAGCGCAAAATTAGTTCCTCACTAGTACTGCTAAAAATACCTTTCATTTATGACTTTGTCATCGATTTCAAATTTTAAAGCTTCAAAATCCACGTGCCAAGAGAGTAATGAGCACTGCATTACAAATTAAAGCATTTATCTAAATTTTCTGTCATCATTTTCCAATTTGGACTATGTTCTTCGGTAGAAAGCCAACTGAAATCATAAACATTACACCATGAATCATTTTCTACACGACTTTGGAAACCAACAACGTTATATGGTGCAATTTGTATCCCATCGCAGTCTTCAATGATCAGAGCAGCACGCACCTTAAACACACCACAATCAATTAATGATTAATTTTAAATAATATTAATGCGATGAATGAAAAGCAAGAGCCAATATGATACATAAATTCAGTTACTTTTGACATAAAAATCTGTAAAACATGAGATCTACTTTTTAACTGACCATATCAAATATAATTTGAATTTACACTGATTACAAAACAACTCTGATGATGAAACTGTGTTAAACTCTTCTCAATAGAAATACCTCAATATAAAGACGGATCTCATGGCTATCATGGATGCGTACTTGTTGTGCAGCTACTGCCATTGTTAAATCTTCACAGTTACGAATTAGAAATGATGTTCTGACGGGTGCAAAAACCAGCGTTGTGTGCTTGACCGACTTCATATGTACAGCTGATGCTCTAAATGGGACGCGAACAATACATTTAACGACATTACTAATCACTACTTCATCATTGTCGTTGCCCACTAGAGTAATTTCTTCATCATGCTAGAAACAGATTAAAGATTTGTATAAAAAGAATTATGAAATATTTAACAATCACTGAGTTCGCAAAAGGGAAGAATTAAAATATTGTACTGGTGATTTTAAAAAGCCAAATAACCTTATCTATCATTTGCACAGCACTTTGTGTCTGTAGTCTCACCACAGTTTGATTGGTACCAAGAGAAATACTTCCAGCAATCGGTGTTTTCGACTGAGGTAATTCCAATGCATTACTTTCAGCAACCGTTGTTTGCGACTTGGGCAATTCCGTAGCATTACTTTCAGCAGCAAATGAAAACACTGACTGATGACTTGCCAAACCGACTTGCTCTTGCATTCGACTACGTAGAACATTTAAAGCTTCTTTCATACGACGAGACTGATGACCAGGTGGCATTATTGTAAGTGCAGTTTCTAATTCATGGAGGAATTCAGGCTTGATGCTTGAGTCAGAGGAACTAATCAGCTGTGAAACTTTTGTAAGCAGATCATCAAAATCTGTTGAAGTAGACAATTTCTTTACTCCCACTGTTTGCTGAGAATGACGCGCTTCCAATCGTGCTAAGACTCGTTGTCGTTTTTTTATAAATAAATCATCTATTTCCGACTCCATTAGTAAACAGAATCAAAATTTATAAGACAAAACTAGCAGAGTAAGATAAAAATAAACAACGAAGATCACTAGATTATTAATCAAATTGATGCTAATCGAATTTCTTGTGGTGCACGCGTCGAGGAATCCAAGGTAATAGCACTTCGGAGTACTTGCGTCCGTCTACTGAAACGATTTATCACTATGCACAAGTCTCTTCAATAAATTATTACTTCATCAAAATATAACTTGATTTTAAAACCTAATCATAATTGCAACTCATGAAAGCATACAATCAATCAAGTGGCTAAAGTCATTCGGATGAAGCGAAATATAATGTTCGATAACAGCGTCACGGGTTTTGTAGTGATATTCGCGAAGTGCACCAACTACATATCCTACACCACCCAAAAACATCAACGCAGCAAAACGAGCAAAAAAACCTGAAGCACCATGTCATAAATTTTATTACTAAGTACTAGAGAAAACCTAGCTCTGAAAGTAAAGAGATAATTAAGAACTGCAACATAACTACTTCCCCTTATGCACTACAAAAAATACATTCAAAACTATTCAGGATTTGAAATTAAGAAAGTGTGTAAATGCTTTCATTATGTGAGATTTGCTGGGAGAGATCTAAAAATGAAATAGCAATTATTAATTCCATACTTACTGTAAAAAAATGGTTTACGTGACCAATCTGTGTAATATTTCCAACTTAACAAGCCAGTACCAATACCAAATAACGAAACACCCCAGCGACGAGGCCAAGTTGTTGGGTCTCCCAATTTCAATGGACGAGTATTATCACGCAAAAATGATTCACGCCGTTTCAGCTCTTTTTGATCCAAAGTACTGCTTCTTAACATTTCCTTTAACTTTATTTTAAATGCGCTCATTTTAACACATCACAAATAGTCGAACCGCCGATATGAAATAAACTACAGACAAAAGTATTATAAGAGCGAAATAAAAAATAACAGTTGATAGTGAAAAAATATTCTACCGTAAGTGGTAGCTGAGACCGGCGAACAATAAATGAGCTGAAGAGAACTACAAATAAAACGAATGAAAAAACTTGCACTTAAAATGAAGAGTTATTTGTAAAATATATGACCTAAATTACTAAACAGACATATATGACCTAAACTGATAATCATCATACATAAAAAGGCAATACAATGGACACAAAATCTTCAAAATTGTTTTAACTCAACGATCGAAACGTGCGGGATATATGCCAGCTTCTCTCCATTCGTCAAACTTTTCAACCCATGCCGAAGGGCAAATATCAGTGTAAACATTGTAGAAGAATTTACATGGTTTATGATCTTCCCCTAACAAAGTAATACAACGATGAAAATCAATGTAATAATCGAAACAATGCCGTCCCATCTTGATTTGCTGATAACGCGCATCTATTGGTGATGCCCACAAAAGGTTTTTATTTGAAAATGCCCCATGTTTTTCATTATATTTTCGATCAAACCAGCGAGGATCATCTGGAGAACGATTCACGTAGTCATTTATATCCAACTGCTTCAACCGTTCCTTTAAAGTTAGTGGAAGCTCACCGAAATCGGTTGATTTCTTGTGCAAATTTGTGTTATTTTCACCTGTTCCCGCTTCCTTTGACATCTAAATTTTGAAACAACTTCATATAAAATAATGCAGAAAAGACCCCTACTAGCCAAAACTAAGATAAAAATGTACAACTAACTAACATCAACACGTGTGACTCAAACACTCCACACTTCATATTATCCTCCAACTAACTTAACCAATGATCACATTTTATTAAATGTACTCGAGGCAATCAATCGCTGTAAAACCTTATTGTTTCTTGCAACCTAGACCCTTCTAAGAACGTTTTGGCTGTCCAAGAATTCTTGATATCTGTTTCGAGATTTCTTAGGAGGATAGGAGGTAAAAGGTTGTTGTGCGCGGGGATTGGGAGACGTAGGTAATGGGAAATCCTTCTTTGATGCTTTTGTCGAGAGGAAAAATCAGAGAGAAATTGCAAAATAATTGGCAATTAAGTTTTTGCTCAGAATTTATTGCAATGTGGTTGCGCTGAAAATCGACGGAAGCTAAAAAAACCACAATAGCTATTGAAAAAATTTTTTGAACAAGAATTCTGTATATATGATGTTCTTGTAGAATAGTTTACTGATGTAATTTAAAAACTTATTTATTAATCTGGCAAAAAGTTCGCAATATAACTATTTGTTATTAAATTATGCAGGAAATATGTCGTCTTTAAAGAGATCGTCAAAAGTTGGTCAACGGATTCATCGTGAACGACCTCAGGTTTTTCACTCTTGTGTTTGAAATTTCTTAGTCATTTATATTTAGAAAAGCTGTATTCAGTTTGTTTTTGAATATGAAAAATTTTCTATATTTCTTTAAAATTTATTTTCAGTGATTCGTATGATGCTACAAGAAAAAATTTTCAGCCTGAATCGAGGAAACATTTGGGCTTCCTAGAAAAGAAAAAGGATTATGTTCAGCGGGCTCGGGATTATAATAAGAAAAAACATAAATTGCAAAGGTTAAAGCAAAGAGCGCTGTCACGAAATCCAGATGAATTTCATTTCCATATGATACGCAGTCATATTGGAGTAAAAATCTTTCATTATAATTTGACAATTAATTGATTTGTTTTGCATATCTTATATGAAATTCTTTGAAAAATAGCGTTCTTTCAATTTTTTAACGATTATTGAGATGAAATTTTTGCAGGAAGATGGAGTTCATTATGAAAATATGGCTGAAGTTCGGGAAGAAGATACTTTGTTGCAAAAGAAAATGGATGTAGGAGATTTAAAATATGTGAAGCATCGATTTAATATTGAGAATCAAGTAAAGTTTTAGCATTTGTTGAAATTATTTTATTTAATGCAGAGTGTAGTTTAGTAGAGTTATGCTCTAAGTTATGAAACTTAATTCTTTGAATAGTGTTTCTAAGTTACAATTGAATAGTGTTTCTAAGTTATCACGTAGACAAAATTTATTATTAAAGATTCCATTTGAGTCGCAGCATTAAACTAGTCATTTCTACTTTTTCCAAGTTATTGTATACGTATGCCAATTCAGAAGATCGAAAAGCTGAAGGCAGTTTTACATTTCGCAGATATTGCTGTAGCAAAAAATACGCATACAATATTTGTTGATACAGAACAAGAAGGTATTTCATGGAAAAATTTTATAAAGTGTCATGAATTTTTTTCATTGTATGGTTAAACTTTCCTAAAATTTTAGTTGTGTCTTCATTTTGTAAAGTTTGGTTTTTCCGAATTTGAAGTTCAGGAGCATGAAATTTATTAAGGTGCGCTTCATTAGTTAGAATGTATGTTTTTTTAAAGTTTTTGGCTTCATTTATGAATAAATAGATAATTGTAATTATATAATAAAATATATCAGTTTATTAAATAATCGCATTTTATAAATGCGAGTACATTACTACCTAACAAAAACTTATTATGTACTTTATAATAAAGATCACTGCTATTGATTGATCAAAAATTCACTTCTGTGTCATAATTTAAATGATAAATTATGATGTGAATAGGAAATATTTAAAATAGTAATGTATTTCAGCAAAGAAATTCGATCCAGTTCAGTATTTTGATACACCTGAAGAACTGTTGGATCGTCGGTATAATCGACCGCATATTTCGACTCTTCAGAGCACAAGCGTTGTAAATGCTAAAAGGAAGAGTGATGTCAAGGTATACTTTACAACTTATTAATTTCCACTATATCAAAAATTGTGTTTTTAATGCCCGTAGTTATTTTCCCAAGTATCGTTTCCCATTTCTTTGTACTTAAAATTTATTCTTGCATGTTTTGTTCAGATTTGTTTATTTTCATGCTATTGTCCCACTGCTCGTATTTCATTCATATTATTATCTCAGACATCTCTTTTTATCTCCTCTTCCAGAATATTTGGTTTATCACCGACTTTAGTTTGGTTTGAGTCATTAATTACCGAGTATTATTTGGTCACAAAAATGGACTTAATAATTTATTTCATCAGGAATGTAAAGTACTTTAATTTAATAATCATTTTCTAGGAAGTAGATTACGAGCGGAGGAAAATGTATGACGAGCTGCTGAAAAGAATGAAACGTGCTAAAGAATTAAAAGTAGTTATTGAGAAGTTGGAAGTTAAAAAGAATAGAGCAGAAAATAAAGGAAAGGAATTGAAACCAAAACAGGCTCGTTTTACTGTTTTTTGCTCTGTATTATTAATATCATCGCTAAAAATTTTTGCCTAAATTGTTTCATCCTATAATTTACATGAGTCTATTCTTATTATGCTACCTTTCACGTTTTCATTTTAGATAGCAAAGGGTAAACCTATGAGAGCGGAAGTGCTGAAATGGGTTTATGAACGGAAAAAATAATGTTTCTTGCTAACTGTGTTAGAAATAATTAATGCAACTTTTTGAACCTTATCGTTTGCGATTTTGTTCTAAATTTTTGTGTGCTTTACTTTCGTTCACTCTACGTGAGAAATCTTTTTGTTGTAGCATGTGCAATCATTTCATTAGTCAATTAAAATATTCATATTAACAAAAAACAAGTGAACATCCATTCCTTGACAAGTCGGTTGCTAAACTAAATCGGTTTATTATTTTGTTTCACAAAAAATGCTGTACAGTGACAATGTATTGTTGAAATCAACAGATCCTACTGAGAACGCATCATAGTCAATCAGTAACTGTTATAATAAAAGTATAAAGAATAAAATATTTTATGAAATAAAATGCCACACTATTGTGTGAGTCGATTACTCAGTCTTTCTAGTGTTTGGTGGAGGGTAGAGCATATTTTGAACAATTAAACTTCCATTATATAAGTTAACTGAAATGTGTAATATTTATACGGTAGAATAAATCAGTTTCTAAAGTTGTTAATTTTATATTATAAAGTACAGATTTCTCAAGTGAGCTGAATCTCATCTGTGGAATTGCGAATGTTTGCTTAATCTCAGAAGTTGCACTTCTTGGGGTTTGTGTTCGGAGAAAAATATGGCAAGAAAATATTTCAATTCAGTCTCATCTTCATTAGTAGATAAGGCATTACAAAGAGAAATGTATGAGTATGTAATAGTTTGCACAATAGCATGTGTTGATATAGTTAGTGATTGGGCGCTGACGGCTTTAACATACTATAACCGTTGACGGTAATCACAACTGGTGAACTAAAATCGGATCCTTCGGAGTCATTATCTGAACTTCCTGATCTAAAAAAAAGCGTAATAAGTAAATAAGATGCAGTACTTAATTCTCTGAGTTATTGCAGCAATACAATTTCAAATAATTTAGGGAGTTTCTAAATTATCAGCCCAGTACATAATTATATGTATGTGGTAGTGTAACTCATTCAATCTGCGTATATGTGAGAGTTGGGTAGTGCCAAGCTTCCTGCATTAATGTTGCAGTTTATTTCAGAAGAGCTCAGACATGTCTATGTTTATTTTCAGAACCGAATCTTTTAGCTTATCAGACAACTGTTTTTATGAAATTATCAAAAATATAGTACGAAATTGACCTTGTTGAGATATCAGCATCAGAAAGGAGAATTTTTTTAACGTATGAAGATGAATTGGAACCCGTGCTAAAGCTGTTTGATGCCCGTCTCATGCGTCGCATCTCTGCATAAAAACCATCGCGCACTGATGAATATACCTAAAAATTTTTGAAACTTTAAATAAAATGCAAGCTAGTATTTGCATAGGAGAGAAATAATTTTTGAAAGACTTTCTAGGCAGAGTTAGAATAAAATTTCAGCTTGAAAACGAATCATAGTAATGAAAGAAGAAAATGCTGTAAGCGTCTGATGTGCTGGATGAACAGCGCTATCCAGGAATGTGCATTCGGTAATGGTAGCATCAGCGTAAGCTCCAAAAAAATCAGGTTTAAAACCAAAGGCCCGGAACTTGACATGTTTACTGCCAAACTCTTCGGCTAATCGTTGAATCTTGAAAGTTTGTTAATATAGTAAGATGTAAGCAAAGCATAAATTATTGCTAATATGTATAATTATGCTTCTTGATTATGGCTTAGTGTTAGCTGAGATTTGTCGTTTTTTCAGAATTTTATTTGAAATGATGAATGTAATTTCTGATATAATCTCTGATAAAATTATACTTCATGTGTGCTGATTAGTAAGTAATAAAACTTTCTTGAGTGTTTTTGTTTTACTATATGAAAATGAAAAATTTGTACACTCACTATAAGTGAATAAAAAACATTTCAAAAATTGAAAACAAGTTTTATTTCAATTCAAGTAAAAAAATAAAATAGTAATTAGGAAGTGATGAATTGCCTTATACTGCCATAAGAGAGAATTAATTAATTAATTATTAAAAATGTAGAATTGATGTCCCACTATCTTTAATCCTCAGATTGATTTTGTCCCTTGGTTGGCATTGTCATGGAATTTTTGTATGGAAAGTCTTTTACAGTTTTGTTTCTTACAAATTGAATTAATAATAGGAACAGAATTTATGGCAGTACTTCTTACTTCGTCTATGAAATTGATATTGGCTACGGTTTTTTTGAGCAGCAGTTTCACCTCTTCTTCTATATCATCACGTTGATCACTACTTAATTTAGAGTAGAATTTAGCGAAATCATTTCGTTTTTCATAAACTCGTTTAAGAATTTTATGTCCGAGAATTTCGTGTGGATTTTGGAAGCAAGTCTAAAACTTACACAATATTAAAATTCAAAACGATACAGAAGTATTTTTTCTATATGCAAGTAGCACTGCAACTCTCAAATAGCGTTGCATTAAATGGAATTTTTGCAGAAAAATTACGAATTACTAAAAGTTACTAATAAATATTTGTCATAAAAAATATTTGTCTCAGTAATTTGTCATAAAATAAAGAACTACTTAATTTCTATTATCTTATTTAAATTAGAAATAAATTTAATAATACATTTGTATTTGTGTTTTTATATGCTTTTCTTTTATAACCCTAAAACTTTGTATTACAAAAACAAATTTTTTGTTTTAATTTTAAAATCAACTTTTTTTAAATTTGATTTTTGATCATCAGTATGTGCAAGCTAACTATGGTATATTTGGTGCACATTGGTTTTTACAATTGTTGGTTGATCAAAATTATTTGAGCCAAAACCTAATGAATTTAAATGCATTTAAATTCCATAACTGACCTTTTTCCTAAAACTTCAATATTTTTTAAAATTTAGTTATATTTTTTCAAAATTTTGATTAGTCACATTTATAGAGATGATATTATTTCTGCACAAACAACTAATTATTTTTTACTTCAATATTGCATATGAACATTTGAACATTTTCAAATATTTTCTTAAATTATTTAAGTTTGATTAAATCAAAAAGTGTTCGGGCACAATCATTTGTATTATAAAAACAGAATATTATTCATGAAATTATTATTACTTGAATCAGTTGTCGATTACGAATCGGAATTGGGTGCTTCTGTTTCGACGTACTCCTTGAGCTACACATACTTTCAGATCGACTACGATTGATGTCCAAATCAAGTGAACATCTGGACGACGAATGACCACTTTGCATACCGAAATCTATCATTGAATTAAACATGGCTGACAATGAACAAGTATGCTCATCTCAGTAAAATTTTCGATTCTTTTACTGCATTTTGCAAAAAATTCAGTGATAAAAAAGAATAGTAATAAAGCTTTTTTAAACTATTTGCTTAAATACATACTATTGTTCTAAACTGCATGCTAGATATTGTAGAATGATCTTTACTACCGTTGTAAAGATTTGTTTGAACTATTTTGATTATTTTACTGTAATCAAAGTTCTATCAATCAAGTATAGTATTAGTTAGTTTTGACTTTATTTTCCTTGCATGTAATTTTATTTTAAGATAATTTTTTTGAGTGAGTTAGAAAAAGCCTAAAGAAGCTGAAAATGAATTTAGCAAAGTATTGTGTCTATAAAGAAAGCTAATTTTCAACTTCATGCGTTTACTGTTACAATTGCGCAGATCATTCACTTAGTACAAGAGGGAAGTGGATTCGTAATATTATGTATTGTTTTTCGAGATTAATAGCAGGTAAATAACAATTTATAGTTATACGTTCTTGTGATCCTAAAATTGTTTAGTGCTTACCAACGTTGAGCAGATTATCATTACAGCTCACAGAATTAATGACTTTGATTGTTGGGGGTATAATATGCTTTGGACTTGCATTAGCTGATAACTTTTTCTTTGTGGTTGATTTCGTTTGTCGAATTTTTGAACCTTCACTTCCCATTGATGACAATCTGTAAATATTTTCAGTTTCAATTCTGATTTTTAAGCCAAGTTGTCAATATGAAATCAAAGTATCATTTATCTAATTGTTAATTAATTAGTTAATTTATTATTATTGTTTATTACGAAAATATCCGGCAAATGAAAACTATTTTATTGAAATGCTTTTTAATTAAAGTTATTTCGTTATCCTCGTTAATACGCAAAATAATAAAATGACAATCTAATAATGTTAACACTTAAGTAGTAATTATTACTTTTAATTTTTTTAACAGAAAAATAAAAACTTTGTACTACAAACGAAAGGATTTCTCGAAACTTGCGTAATTAAAATACTAAAAAAAACAAAAAAAAATCAACCACAAAGAAAAAAAAATTAAAAATCCTTTTTGACATTTTCAGTTACGATAAGAATAAATTTGTCTCTTTCATTTTATCAAGATAAATTCAAAGCTTTTTGAACTTATGATTCTGAACTAAAATTATGCAAGATTTTGAATCAGTAGCCATTTCATTTCTATTAATATTCTAGGAAATTTTTTTTTGCATTATCTGCAGTTTTAATTGGCTGAATATCTGATTTCAAGTCAAATTTCTTTTTAATTAACTTAATTTCAGACTCAAAAATATGACAGTAAGAGTTATTTTTTTGCTGTGGTGTAAATGAATTATGAATTATTAGTTCATCTTGTAGCAAATTCAGATTAACATATAAAGTAATATTACAAAAGTTACGTAAATAAAGGAGTTCTTTTCCTTCTTAATTGAAAAATGAAATCTATAAATTAGCCATTTTTAATCAAAGCGCTGATTATATTGAACAAAGTTTATTTGCTTTCGATAATTTTGAATTTAAGCAACTTTGATATATATTTTAAATGCAAATTAATTTATTGTAATGAAAATAAAATCTGAAAAATTTTTTTTTATTTCGAATATCAGTCAGGTGATATATTTTTATTTTGATGCAATACGTAATTATCACTTTTTACTTTTTCAAACATGAAAAATAGTGAATTAATAAGAAACGATTCTCATCAATTACGTAACTAATTAATTAATTTTTCTGTAATAAATGTAAAGTGCGTGAAACTTCGTGTGAATTTACTTCATTGCTTATTTTTTCAATGTGACTATTTTCATTAATTTCTTTTTTTGGTAAAAAAACTCTTACTGTCATATTTTTGAGTCTGAAATTAAGTTAATTAAAAAGAAATTTGACTTGAAATCAGATATTCAGCCAATTAAAACTGCAGATAATGCAAAAAAAAATTTCCTAGAATATTAATAGAAATGAAATGGCTACTGATTCAAAATCTTGCATAATTTTAGTTCAGAATCATAAGTTCAAAAAGCTTTGAATTTATCTTGATAAAATGAAAGAGACAAATTTATTCTTATCGTAACTGAAAATGTCAAAAAATTTTGTCAAGCGAATATAAATAAATAACAATTTTTTACATCCTTTACTAATAAATTCATAATGAAATAAAATGCCAAAATAATCTTTCGAATATTAATTTTTGTATTCTTTTATTAATTTCAAATTTGAATTTGTGCAGAAATTTCGAATTGAATCTTAATATCTTACTTTGTAAAGTCAAAAAAAGAAAATCGTTCTAAAATGCTTAAAATAAATTTAAACAACGCTTTGTTTTACCAAATAAAAGCATACATATAACATTTCTGCAATATTAGTAATGTGTTTTTCACTTTAATATATGTGAGCACTGTGCTTATTTGTTTGCAACTTTTGCTTCATACTTTTCAGTATTTACTATGCAAGCAATATATATATATATATGTTTAGTAATCTCAGGTTTTTCAGTCTCTGAACTTTTAATTAAAAACTAAAAATAAGTAAAAAGTTTATCTTTTAACAAAATACAAAAAAATACAACTACTAGTAATACTTATTCCAAAATGTTATGAAGTTGAAATTTGAAATAAATAAATAAAGCAATAGCTTTTCACTTTTTCCTTCTATTAACAATATAATTTTTCAAACTTTTAATTTTCAATTTAATTTAACATTTAATCAGCAATTGCAGTATAAAATGCTCTTTATAATGATATTTTTCAAGCATAACAAACTATTAAATAAAGTTTATCACAAGCAACTTTTGCAACACAAATAAGACAATTTTATTAAACTAAAAATCGAAAAGAAATAAAGAAAAGTTGAATATCCGATTTAATGCTTATCACTACTACTGATAACTAATTGTCGAAATTTTTATCACTAAGAATTAAAACTTGCAACAATACTCAATTAAATCTGAACATTCTAAGCAAGGTGGGGGATTTTGCATATTTAATTTAATAAAACATTTTGTAGATCTTAGTTTACATTCAAATTATTGGTTAAGGGATGAAAAGTATTACTGCCGAATGCATTAAAAAAAAATTCTATTTATAGAGTATTTTGCGTCATTGTTAAAAAAGTGAAAATTATGTCGTCAAACTAATTTTGTCTCATGCCATGCAGAATTGCTGAAGGAAAAAAGAAAGCTTCAGTGTGAGTAACAATTTTACTTCTCTTATAAGATTTTTACTGCATTTTACTTCTGCTAAAGGCTAGCAAATTTTCGTTTTTCATCAAAGCAGAAAAGAGTTGCTAAGCTTTCTTGCGACGCAAACATTGCTTGGCTCTATTACTCTCGCTTAGTAAACCAAAAAATTGTCAAATAAGTAGAGTAATTACTTTAGACAACTTTTTTTTTCCAGTAAAGTAAATTAAATCTAATTTTAAGTATACGAGTTTTGAGTAACTTCATTAAATATCCAATTTGAAATGCGCCATTTTTTAATCTACAATAATGTACATAAAACATGGATATTAATTGAATATCCGTTTAACAAATGATTGCAACTCTAAGCGTGTAGAAGGAAAAAAAGAAGCAATCAGTGTCAACCTTTAAAGATTAACAAATAAACTAAATATATGGCCGATAAGGAAAAAATTAATGATATTATCAATTATAGTTGCTGAACTTTTTGCGTAAAAAAAACAACTATGGATGCTTTAAGACAATTACAAGCTCACTTAATATCTGGAAATAGATTTACTTAAATTAATAAACTTTATCAAAGTAATGAAAATATAAAAGGAAGTTTATATTTGCCCTTCGAACTCTACCAAGCTTATTTTCGATGAAAGAAAATACTTTCAGAAAAATGAGCAATAAATTAGTTAGAAGGCACATGGGTTTGAATGCTCGATCTGACTTTTGAAGCAATTTTTCTCTTAGCATCTGCTTTTCTTATCAATCTTGTAGTAATTTAAATAAATTGAATTTCGATGAGATATTTTGTGGATTTGAGCAAATGCCAAAGAACGAAATTCATTTGATTAGCTGTCGTAAATCGTTTAACAAATACATAAAAAAGTCATACTTTAATAAAAATTGAAATAGTAAAATGTCTGCCATGACTTTTTTTTGCATATACACACAAAAATTTCTAACTTATAAAAACGATGTCTATGAATTTTACTGAAAAGTACTCAAATAATTAATTATTTTGCATAAATCGCTAGTTACTTTATTGTATCTCTCAAAAGCAATTCTCTGCAAATTTCTTATGCAACTTTTACATTTCATCTACAAGTTTTGTGAGGAACTGAGTACTTAATTTATGTTCTGAAAATCTGTTCAAAATAAAACATTGTTGCTCTCTCTACCTTTTTATTTATCAAATAGTAAGTTTATTCTGTGCTTAATATTGCTGAAATCTGAATTATATATCCATATTACTAACATAACTGAGTCTCTTAGCATCTGCTTTTATTTCAGAATTTTTGCTGAATACATTGCTTTCAAAATTCAACAATTTATAACAATGAATTATAAAAGTGTAAGGAATAGCAAAATATATCATATTTTAATCAAAAATAATAACAAAACTATTTTTTTCAAATAAAGTTTAGTGGCATTTTAGAAATGTAATAGAATGCATTCAAGTAATCAAATTTACTGCAAAATAAATAGTAACTAAATTGTACAAGTAATTTTATCATATCTATTCATGCAGTAAACTTTGTGCTGAAAAATGAAAATGAAATTAAAATGTGTCAAATTTTTGTTTTTGTATCAAGAAGGAGATAAAGGAGCGCAATGAACAAACGGTCTTATACTTTTACAAATTACTTTTTTTACTTTCAGTTGAAATTTGAATATATATTACGCATATTAGCTACTTTTTAGCTATTTACTGTCTTAGAAATAATTTTTTTAGTGTTATTACCAGAACAAGCTTGTATGAATGACGCAATTGCTGAAAATACTTCATCTTCTATTCAGTTCATTGTTAAATTTCTGAAATAAAGCAAACATTTTACTGCGCACCTTAATCGCCCCAGAAAGAAAATAAATCCTTTCTTGTTGACAAAAGCTTTGTATAAATTTTCTTGTTATAGCACTTTATTATTAATATTATTATTATTATCATCATCTTGATTCTATTGTATTATTATTATTATTATTATTATTATCATTGTTACTATTATTTTTGTTACTATTATTATATCTGATATTGTTTCTGTCTTAATTTTGAATGCTTACTTTATTCAAATATTTTTTCTGCTTCTTGGAGATGGATTTAAAAGAAATTGCAGAATCTACCAAAATAATTGAAGACTTTGAAAAATAAGAGTTGCAATCAGAATTTGAAAAGAAATACATTCATTTTTGAAACTTACAATTTTTTTCTGATTTTGACTTTGAGATTTGACATTTTGAAATTTCTTGCATGCAACACAAATGTTAGTTGCAAAAAAGTTTGCATTGCAATTCTTAGCATCATTTGGATCAAAAAGAAATCAGTAAAATAAATAAAAATGAGAATTGAAGAGTTGGCTCAGCATTCGCTGAAAAACTGAATGATTTTTGATTTTATTTCTACAAAAAGGCTGAAAATAGTCAAAAAAAGCAAAATTTTCACTTTCTGTTTGATTTGTGCCATTTAATTTCTTGAAGAAGTCAGTAATATCAATTTTGTTTG